CAAACTAAATGATGGCAAAAGTGAGGAGTAAAATAGAAGCTAGTCCAAAATAAATTTTAGATTAGTTAAAAGTCAAGTTTAATATCAGAAAATACAGTTTTCATGAAATGTTTTTGATGGTTTGTGGAGAAAAGTGCAAGTAGCAGATAAGCAGGCTCAATTCCAAAAACAGTGAATGACAAAATACCAAACAGGAACAAATTGAGTCCAGTCCAGACTTCCAGCTGCAGCAGTGAAGAGCGTCCTGTGCTCCTGCAGCACTGTGTGGCACAGCAGCTGTTCTGCTGTGGACAAGAAGTCACTGCAGGGTGGTGAAGGCTGCTCAGAAGGTTGTGGGGGCCACACTTCCCACCACCATAAACATTTACACCTCCAGATGCAGGAAAAGGGCCACCTGCATTATGAGAGTCTGCACACACTCATCACACCCTGGCCTGGCAGACCTGCAGGAAGAAGGCTGAGGAGCATCAGGTGCAGGACTGCTAGATTGAGGATCATCTTCTACCCTGAATCTGTGAAGACAGTTGAACTTAGATGTAGGGAGATTTAATTACAGAGTAAGAACAGCTGAGATTACTTATGAATAACAGCTGTGTGACTGCACAGCAGAGGGACTAAGAGGGATGGAACAAACTGCTGAATATAGTTAGTACAATCAACCAGAAATGGGCGCAAATAGTTTTTTTTGTTAGTCCAAGTCAAGTCTCAAGTCTTTGGCTCCAAGTCCAAGTCAAGTCCAAGTCTTTGACCAAAAATCCAAGTCAAGTCTCAAGTCTCTTGACCTCAAGTCCAAGTCTCGTTGTATGTATTACTTTTGATCAAAGATAGATAGATAGAAGATTCTAACTATACTACAGCAAAGTTTCTATAATACTATATTTTAATCAAATATTAAAACTGTATTATGTTTTAATAATACTATTAAAACATAATAATGTTTAAAGATACAGATAAGGTTAATGTTGAAATAACAACAATATAGAGTATTGTTAAATATGTTTTGCACTTGTAGTCTTACAAAAGCATAATGTAATTTTATCTTTTCATTGACAAAGAACAAATCCAACAAATCTGCTGCCGATTTTACAATAAAATACCAGAAAAAATATTTTTAAATGCATAAAAGCTATCAGCGAAGATGATGAACCAGAATCCTTAAAGTAAAAGGGCTGCACAAGTCATCACAAAAACAAATTTTGGATTTGGACACCACACGCTTTGCATTTTGCCAGTCTCTTGTTGAATGCGTTGAATAAAGTTGCATCAACATTGGACGGCGCTGGCCCCTCCTGTGCTCAGGCAAGGAGGAGCAGAGCAGAGCATGGATGTGCATTGAGGGAGTGATAATCGTGAGCCGGGCAGTGAAAAGACTTGCATTGTTCGCAAGTCTCAAATCACAAGTCCAAGTCAAGTCTCAAGTCTTTAGGGTCCAAGTCCAAGTCAAGTCTCAAGTCTTTAGGGTCCTAGTCCAAGTCAAGTCTCAAGTCTTTAGGGTCCAAGTCCAAGTCAAGTCTAAGTCAGTAGGAACTTAAGTGCGAGTCAAGTCTAAGCATGAGTCATGTGACCCCATCACTGCAATCAACATCTTTGTTTTCATTATGATTCAAAGCAGCATTTTTCAGCCTGTTTCTTTTCTTTCTTTTTTATATAATAACTTGAGAATTGCAAGCATATGTTTGTACTGGAGTCTGAAAGTGGCTCTCTCCTTTACACGAGACTCCAGGGAGTAAACACTCATGTAAAACAATGTACTGGAGAGAAACCCATAACTGCTGTCATCACGACAGCAAAGTTTCAGGGTCAACATGACAAGAAATAAAACTTAAGGGACCAACTAAGCTGCAGCTGCAAATTTTGTTTGAATTTTAAAAAACTGAAAAACATTCACATATATCTATACCAAAATTGTAAATATGCAGCTGTTTTTTACAGATAGTTCCTCACCATTTATGCAAACTGGCAGATGGGAATACTGCAGAAGTGAAAATTATGAATTATATTTAAATGTCTAACAAGTGCATGACTAATATTTTTTCCTCAAACTCAACTTTTTTGTAATCAAAGTTTCTTTATATCTCCAGGCTTTCTGTTGGTATTATAAAGTTCTTCTTACCTGACCATTGGTCAGGTATGATCAGTGACCATGACAAAATATTGTGGAATAAAATAGCAGAAAACTAGTTGTCAGGCCTAAAGAAGGAATATATGCAGCAGATGCACAATATTTGAAAGTAAAAAAAGGTCTGTTTTTTTATTCAAACAAAATATCAAATATAAACCTGATGAAAATGTATATTAGAGTTGGTCATGTGATATGACAAGTTTTCAAGTAATTGCTTTTGGGTGTCTTCTTGTTTGTGCTAAAACACTATCATATCTGTCAAACTGTGATATTGTGGGTAATTTTCACAAGTTGCTGGTAAGATATCTAAAGACTCAATTTAAAATACATCTTTTGCTCTTTTTTTTCAACACAACACTGGTTCATTTTTTGTGTTTAGGAGTCTTGATGCTCGAATGATTCACAAACAGAGATGTCAAACTTATTCACTTTTATTATTCAAGCAAAAATATAAATACTAGGGTTTAAAATATGTTTTTAGAAGTATAAGTATCAACTCAAGCTGTTTATTCAAGTAAAAGTATAAAAGTATTGCTTTTAAAATTACTTAAAGTATAAAAGTAATGCAAATGAGAAAAACAATCCCATCAAGGTTCATTCCACAGGGGTGGACAACCCCACCTCCCTTCAAAAATATTCTTCTAAAATCATAATGATGTATTGTAATATTGAAATGTTGACCAGATCATCATTGTAAATTAAAATTAATTTTCACTTGACTTACATGTTAAAATAAACATTTATTTAATGATGAAAATGTTGGGATGCACTCCTAACCTTGCAGGGGCCGCCCCCTTGGGTTGGGGTTGCAGAAAGCACAGGGGAGCCCATGTCCTTGTTTGCTCATTGTTGTGAAAATATACAAATTTATTGTTTGGTATGTAAAAATCATCAAAGCAAGTCCATTTGAATAATTCAAATTGTTTAAATCAGAGTAAAAATTTGCTGAGAAATAACTCCAATAAAGTATAAATAGCCAAAATTTCTACTTAAGTAAGGTTTGTTCACAAATCAGGATTAAGTGACTTTAACAAACAAACAAAATCATTCCTCTGAAAATGGTCAAGTATTGGACTTTCAGTTTTAAGTTCAAAGAAAAACCTGAAAGACCTTCAGATAGCCTGAATAATTGTTGATTAGAAGCACTTTAAACAATTACAAGAACTTCTGGATTCCTGAAATTAAAATTTAAAATAATTAGGACTTGGGCGGCATTAAGACTTTTGCACAGTTCTGTATATGATTCAAAGGTGTCCGGAACTATTTGATTATCAGTTAAAACAACAACATGCAGACTATTTCCTTTTTCACTACTGAACATAACCGAAGTGTTTATCTTTCCCCTTAGTACATACTTGCTTTATTAATCCTTAGAAGCACCTCTTCCATCTTAGATATTCTGTTTCATTTTTAGCAAATCAGTTTTAAATTTGTTTTTCTAATTTAATTGCTAAACTTTATCCTGAATCTTTCCTTAGTTGGAACAAGCCCCCCTCCCCCATCCCCCTGACCTTTTCTCAAGCTTTTGCTGATTTTAACATGGCTGTGCCACTGTCTCCCCCAGCAAAAGCCGACGTTTGAAGGAAGTCCACCTTGTTCTGATGCCGACAAAGGCCAGACATACCGTAGAGTAAAGAGGAATTGTTGGATTTTGCAACATGAATTCAAACATGGTTTTGTCTGAAGTTGTTTTTATAAACCTAATCAACTGCATGGAGCTCTGGAGATGTGGAATGAAGGTGGAGAGGAGTAAAGATTGAGGCTTTGTTCAGATTTTAAATTGCTTAGTTGGATATTAAGCTTGACAGGGCTAACTTTAATGTAATATGATTTAACTACATGCAGAAAAATACAAAAAAGGGAATAATGTATCTGGGAAGCAATGATAGAAATGGCCATATAAAGAAAGATGAGCCTTAAAAAAACCATTGTTCTTAAAAATGATTGATGCAGTGTATTAAAAAATCCCAGTGGGTACAATTGACAGATACTTGGAGTACAACAGACATAGCAAATTTAGTCAAATTTAGAGGCGTGATGATCCGGAGACATTTGTCAGGTTTAAATATTCACACACACACTTATGTAACTTGTAGGGAAAAAATCGTTCAAAATTATTCAAGCTTTAGAAAAAACGTTATATGATTACCTATCAAACAAAATGCATGTATAGTATTAGCAATGTAGTGTAATATGGACTACATAATATTGCAAAGGCTGTTAGTATTACCCACATCCCATTTATTCAAGCCTAGAAGGCTATAAATCAACACAACAGTAATGTGTCTTAAGTAACACACACTGATACAAAACTATTGTGCACTGATCCTTTTATCACAATCATTGTATTACTTTTATAGCAAAATGTGCATGTTAGAATCCAATTTCAGCTCAAAGTGATTTGTAGAAAGTTGTTTGAAATAAAAAAGTTTAAGCTTTTACTTTTTATTTCAATTTCATTTTTTCCCTAAAACTTGGCCTACAAAAATTTACATGAGAATCATTTAGACGTCGATGTTCTAATTTCTGTTTTCTTAACGTTGCATACTCATCTTACCAAGCTACGTCTCCAACCAACATGAGAAGGAATTGAATTTATAATGTAAGATGTACAATGAAGTACATGTATATTTTAAGCACATTAAAGCTCTGAAAGATTAGTGCATACAGTATGTGCGGTCACTTTAGTTTTGTAGTTTTATGGATAACCACCAAAGGAACACAAAGTGATTTCTAATTCACTGCTTTCCAAAATAAAATTGTCAGTAACATTGAAATTATATTGAATGTAATGTTTGATTAAAAAGAAACACTGTTAAACAAGAAGTGAATACAGATGGAAAATTGTCAAATGTTTTGTCTTTTTGTTTCTACACAGGTTGTGGTCATGCCTCCCCTCTCCATCCTCCTCATTACTGCTCTGATGCAGCTTGTAGTTTTTCCTCATATGAGTGGTGGAGCATTCTATGGGCACAACCAACACTCTCAGCCATTCCAGCAAATCCAGCACCTTCAACATATGGGCATGGGCAAAGGAGGTTTTCCTCAGCAACAATACCTTGGCAAAGAAGTGCCTTATATACAGTATCCACACTACAGAAAAGAAATCCCCCAGATCTCCCAGATCCCCGTACTCAAAGGAAAAGAAAAAGCTCGAAAAGGGATAAGCTATTTTGGTGGTCAAGACAAAGGTTAGAAATTTGTGCTTTTGTCTGAATTAAACCATCTATCTTTAAGAAACCCATGTGGCAATTTTATTTTTAACTGCTTTACACCACTTAGCCATAGAATTGTAACCACTGAAATGTAAAGATATATGTGACCCATCACATCAAAATGAGGATTAAGTCAAATTTGATCAAAATGACCTAATCATATTTTCAGATTCCTGGCTTTAAAAGCTACATTTTGATACTTAGATCATCCTGATATCATTAGTAGATCCAGAGATATTATTTAAGTTGTCTTGTTGGTTACAATAATACATAAATATTTGGTCTAAATCCTAATTTTATGTAATTTTAATGGGATTTTTTTATGTCATTTGAAAACAGAAACCTCAAAAAATATTTGAGCATTGAGATCTCCCAGCAACAAAAGCTTTGCTCAAAGGGAAAATCTCAACATTTTAAGGCATTTTTCCTCAAAAGCGGGTTTTTGGTTGCTAATGGTAAATGGACTGAACTTATAGAGCACTTTATCAAGTTCCTCTGGACCCCAAAGCGCTTCACACTAACAGACATTCACCCATTCACACTCACATTCACACACTGATGGTGGAAAATTACATTGTAGCCACAGCTGCCCTGGGGCACACTGACAGAGGTGGGACTGCCATGCACCGGAGCCACCAGACCCTCTGACCACCATCAGTAGGCAAGGTGGGTGAAGCGTCTTGCTAACCACTCCGCCACAGCTGCCCCTAATGCTCAAAAAAGTGCTTCAAAAAATTTTTTAAGATAATATTTCAGACAGTTCATTGAAATGATATATTGATAACACATTTCTTTGTTAAATTTTGACAAAATGTAATTTTTTGCAAGCATTTTAATCAAAACACTATATCTGCCTATTTCAGACATAATCCTTGTTTTTATGTGATGGGTCACATATTTTCCCAACCAAACTTTCTATATAATAACATTTAGATATACTGTATGTTCATACTTGTCACCAGGTTGATAGCAGGTTAGTAAGTTAGTGGTCCTTATGTTCTGGCTGATCTGCACATGCATTACAAATGCCAGTTCATTCTGTAAACACAGATGTTTATCAACAAGTTTGTGCATACTTCTTTTCTGAAATAACTTTTTTTCTCACTTCCAACAGGTTTGACAATCCCTAGTGCAGTTGAGGGAATCCCTCAAGGAGAACCAGGCCCAATAGGACCACCTGGACCGGAGGGTCCTCCAGGACTTCCTGGACCACCAGGAATCGGACCACCAGGTCCTGTGGGCCAACCTGGACCTCAAGGTCCACCAGGAACACCTGGAGTGGGGAACCTTGGTTTGCCAGGATTGCCAGGAAAGCAAGGAGAAAAAGGTGAGCGTGGACCACAGGGCAAAATGGGTCCAAGGGGAGAGGAAGGGCCAGCTGGACAGCCAGGGTCTCAGGGTCCTCCAGGGCCTCCTGGGCTTCCAGGTATGGGTAAACCTGGGCTTCAGGGATTACCTGGCCAACCAGGGCCCAAAGGAGAGATAGGTCACAAGGGCTTGCCAGGACTTCCAGGATTACCAGGACCCAAAGGAGACAAAGGGATGGGACTACCTGGACAACCTGGTCACAAAGGGCTTCCAGGGCCTCAAGGACCGGCTGGTCCCAGAGGGTTGCCTGGTTTTGGGAAACCAGGACTGAATGGGTCACCGGGTCCACAAGGACTGCCAGGTCATAAAGGACATCCTGGTGAGCCAGGGCCCCCAGGCCCTACAGGGGAAGGAGGACAGCGTGGCCCACCAGGTCTACCTGGTCAAGGAAGGCCAGGTCAAAATGGCCTGCCAGGACAGCCAGGGACATCGGGTGAGAAAGGTCATCTAGGACCCCCGGGTTTGCCAGGAAAACCAGGTCTACCTGGATTTGGTAAAACAGGACTTCCAGGACCAAAGGGTGAGAAAGGCATGGGTGGACCCTCTGGATCTCCAGGACCTAAAGGAGACAAAGGTCATGATGGACTACCAGGTATTCTCGGACCTCCTGGACCAACTGGTCCACCAGGTCGTCCAGGTGTCATGGGACCCCCAGGAAGTATAGGCGCTCCTGGTCCTAAAGGAGACTGTGGCGATGAGGGACCTAAAGGACTTGATGGATCCAAGGGTGACCTTGGTATTCCAGGACTTCCTGGTAAAATTGGTTTGCCTGGAGATCATGGAGAGCCAGGACCAAGAGGTCCACCAGGAATGAGTGGTCCCAAAGGAGCTGATGGGCATAGAGGTTTACCTGGTATGCCTGGACCCTCAGGAGCTCCTGGTACAAAAGGAGAAGGGGGGCTACCTGGTGAAATGGGGCCTCAAGGTCCTAGAGGAATCCCAGGCCTGGATGGTGCAGCTGGACCAATTGGGCTTACTGGTTCTCCAGGTCCTAAAGGGGAAAATGGTCTTCCTGGTCCACCAGGAAATGCAGATATTGGAAGTCCAGGCCTACCTGGTCCCATCGGACCCCCAGGAAGAGAAGGCCCATCTGGACCACCTGGACAGCCAGGTCAGCCTGGCCCTCCTGGTCCACCTGGAGAACCCGGTCTTTCTCCAGACATGTCTGGAGTGCTCTCTCAGATGGCCCCAGGACTGGATGGTGTTAAAGCTGAAAGTTATGGTAAGAAGAGCATATATGATGGACATGGTGCAGAAGTGTTGGGTCTCGGTGGGCTGGAAATGCCAGCCTTTACAGCCACAGCGACAACGCCGTTTCCACCTGTGGGCTCGCCCGTGGTGTTCGATAAGCTTTTGTACAATGGTCGCCAAAACTACAATCCCCAGACAGGAATTTTCACATGTGAGGTGCCTGGCATTTATTACTTTGCCTACCACATTCACTGCAAAGGATCTAATGTGTGGGCGGCTTTAATGAGAAACAACGAGCCAGTGATATACACGTATGATGAATACAAAAAGGGATTCTTAGATCAAGCATCAGGAAGTGCAGTGCTACCTCTACAACCCGGGGACACAGTTTATATTCAAATGCCCTCAGATCAGGCCTCAGGACTTTATGCTGGGCAGTATGTCCATTCATCTTTTTCAGGTTTTTTGCTATATCCAATGTAAACGATATAACAAGTCTCATTGAGGAGAATTGATGGAAGTTTATTTTATCTCAAACTGAACACTTTGAATGAAAACTTGATCTCATCAGCACAGATCAGACAATATTATTTGTACTGCAACATTTTGTAGCCATTTCAAATTGGTGATTTGTGTTTCTTTTTTACTGCTTGAAAAAAAACTTATTGTTGTACAAACAGACATCCAGGTAACACTGTTTTGACATGCAGAAAATGTATAGGGAATGTTTGGAAGTGCAATTAACACGCTAATAGTTTTTGCAGTTCATGAAAAAAAAAACAGACTGATTTATATTAATTATTTGCAATTTTGTCCATTTCGATCCCTGCACAACTTAAAAATAGCAGCTAGCCCATGCATCAAGTTATAAAACAGAGGTAATGTTTTATTTGGAAAGAAAAAAATTGAATGCATATATTTTATTTCACTGCTGCAAAAATTAACCATCTGTTTAAATATACTAGATTATAGTCTGAATCTTATTGAATTATGTGAAATAATCTGCCAATACAGCAAGACAGTTGCACTTTGTAAGACTTTTTGAAATAAGAAAACTTTTAGGCTAATAAAATTAATAATCTAACACATTCTGCTCTTGCTTAGTATATCAGTTTCAAACAAGATCAAAAATACTTTTTGGCTGGATATAAGATTGTAAGACATGGTTAGATGGACAATTTTTGCAGTATTTAGTAAAATTGCCTCTTCAGAAAGACAATGAAGCTTTGATCACATCAGTTTGTGCATATTTTGTTTTACAGTTATTTATCTTGCAAATGAGTGAGTTTTTTTTAAAGATTATGCCAGTGACCGATTTTTTTTTAGCAAAACACATTGACTATAGGTACACAAACCTTATGACTTTGAGGTACATAAACAAAATTAAAAGTTTCAAATTCAAAATATCTAATAAGAAATTGTATATTTTAGGAAAACTACGGACTTCTGGGGGACTGTTTGTTTATGTTCTTGTGAAGAATCACATGGATGGTAAATATGTAACCTGTGCAGGTTTATTGTTGACTGACTGCTTTCAATAATTTTCAACTAAATGTTGTTGTGTTTTAATGTGTATTGATGGTTTTGTTTTCTGTAAAGAACACATTTTTGTAAAAATACATTAATAATTACATTTAAAGTGTTTCAGGCTAAATGCAGCATTGCCCTGAACTGTGAAAACCACTTAATGGACTATAATTCACATTTTAGACAAAAGTGACATGTCAATCAAGTCCTTTGTATTTGAATATTTTCATTTCTTGCGAACCAAAATGAGTTGGTTCAAAAAAAAATAAGATGACTTGTTTTCATCTTTTGTATTTTTTGTTTAATTTGAAATAGGAACATTTTGTCAAATTATTAGCATATCATGCTCAATCCATTTAACTTGTAAAAGAATGGATTGTGACATATTCACAGAAGAGTAAAGATGGTGCTAAATTGTAGCTGTAATTGAGTTATTGAAGTCTTATTAATTCAAATTTGTGATTGTCTGGTTTTTTTCTTTTTGTAATAAAATTTGTTTATTTAAACAATAAATGGCTTGGACTGTTTCTTGGAAATTTAAATGCCTTCAAATTTTGTTGGAAATTTGTATTTTACTTTTGCAGGATAACGTTTTGACAAGTAAGACTGATACTTATTAATTCATTTGCAAAGTCATGAAAGAAAGTATTTTTCAAACACTTTTACAAATTTAATTGTGTTTAAATA